TATTATAAAGTCATGTTCGATGAGCAATGAGATCGTTAAATCGCGTCCTGGTCGTAATTTTGTAATTCTTGAGCAATGAATACTAACTTGTATCAAAAAAGATGTCAACAAGAACTTTTATTAAAGGTCATGGCACCCATGTAGGAACAAAATGACTGGAAAGATATCTATCGTTGGGGAATTCTTGGCCTAAGAGATGGTAAACTTGCTTAACTGTAAGAAGGTACTGGGATCTAACTACTACAAAATATATGCAGTTGCCCCTGGTTAAATTACCCTAAGGATTCTCCGCCAAATATGACCGGTAGAAATACTCACAAGTCGGTACTTTGTGTAATAATTTATTAATGATCCAAAACTTGGCGTTTTCTACACGTTCTGAGTCGGCGTCAACAGTCCATGGTCCAGTTCCCAACTGACGATCTTGTATCAAACAACCGATTTATGACAATAAAGAAGGAAGCAATTTCAACAAGGGCGCCGCAACGTGGAGCATCCCCTCGCAAGAACACTCGATCCCGATATAAATTATTACTTGCGTAATTTCTTATATGTACTCATTCACCCCCCCCCCCACACACACACACAGGCGCATTACTGTATCCCCTCCAGCTTCATTGTGAGGGAATAATTTCGAGTAACTCGTCATAATTGAATTATGATAAACAGGATAACAGGTAGCATCCAATATCCTGCGGTCTTTATAATTATAATTAGCACTATCAAAGAACATTATTGTCACTCAAAAATCTTTTCATTTCACACGGTGACGATATATGTTCAAATGATATAATGATGAATAGGTGGTATTACTTTGGGAGAAGCTGACATCTGCTGACATTATGTTAAAAAGCAAGATGCGTTTGTGAAACACTGGTGCCCTCGTATGGCAGCTTGTAGCGAAGGTTAAAGTTTCTCAAATGCAAGTCAAACTCCGGGTCAAACGATAAAAAATGTTGGCACCTAATGAAAGGTCTTGTCTCGAGGAATATACCTGTGAAATATGAAAGCCCTTACACCAACTGTTGAAAAGTTATGGCGAAGGTTAAAGTTTTTGAAAAGTAAGTAAAACATCAAGGTCAAGGTCAAATGGTGCCCAAGGGAAGGTCTTGTCACTAGTGATACACACGTACGTGAAATATGAAAGCCCTAGAACCAAACGTTCTAATGTTATGGCCAAGGTTAAAGTTTTTTAAGTAGGTCAAACTCCAAGGTCATGGACAATGGGCCAAAATTGTTGGTATCCAAAGGAAGGTCTTGTCACAAGGAATACACATGTGAAATATGGAAGCCCTAGAACCAATTGTTCAAAAGTTATGACAAAGGACAAAGTTTTTTTCAAAAAGTAGGTCAAACTCCAAGGTCAAGGTCAAAGGGTCAAAATTGTTGGTATCCGAAGGAAGGTCTTGTCACAAGGAATACACTTGTGAAGTATGGAAGCCCTAGCACCAACTACATGTATTCAAAAGTTATGGACAAGGTTAACGTTTTTTTTTTTCAAAAGTATGTCAAACGTCAAGGTCAAACGGTCAAAGTTGTTGGTTTCCAAATGAAGATTTTGTCACAAGGTATACACATTTTAAGTTTTAAAGCCCTAGCACCAACTATTCAAAAGTTTTGGCCAAGGTTAAAGTTTGATTAAATTTAGCAAAAGTGGGTCAAACTCCAAGGTTAAGATCAAAAAGTCAAAATTGAAATTACCCAAAGAAAGGTCTTGTCACAAGGAATACACATGTGGAATATGAAAGTCATAGCTCCAAGCAATTTAAGTTATGGGCAAGGTTAAAGTTTTTGCGGACAAACAGACAGACAGACAGACAAACAGACGGACGGACGGACGGACAGGGCAAAAACTATATGCCCCCGAATCTTCGATTACGGGGGCATAAAATGAAAAATACGTAAACTTTGATTTAACTTTCTGATTGATATAAAAACTTCAAAATACTACTAGTATTTTTTTTCATATCAATCCTTGTCATGTAGTCAATGAAATTTTGTATCTAAGTCATAATGATGATTTTATCGCCCTCTCTTCATCAGTGATTTAAAAAAAATCACCATTCACAGAAGAGATTCATCTTAACACAATCCTTTCAGACTGGGTATTCTTTCCAAATCCCCCAATTCTAACACAGGCAAATATTATAAGATATGATTTGATAATCTAATTTCCATTTACTTTCTTCTTTTAATTACACTGTACTCCCAAAAATTTGTATCATTCAATAAAAGACTTTATAAACAACACATTTCTGATAAAGAATATCTACTTTATCATTTTTGCTAATTACACAAAGAAATATAAATATGAAAAGGCGTTTTGTTATTAAATGATAAAGTATATGAATCCAAGAAAATGCGTCCAAATCCATAGGTCTTGTATATTCGTTACAACATTAAAGAATCAAAATAGCTGTTTTAATGAAATATAGAAAGCTTCATTGGTTATAAATATGGGATTCTTTTATCATGAAGAGATCGAGCTAATTACTTGTAAGAAAGAAAAGCATATTTGAGCAGGAGTCAACAACTAAAAGTATCACAGCAGGCACACAAGTGGAACAAATTATGTCTGACGGAGAATACCATCTTACCACAGACGTAGAAGTTGTTGATCTGGATGAAATACAGTGTAAAAATAATGTGTTCTAATCTTGAACTGGAGTAAAGGGATTAATTTAAGACGAAACTTGCGAAATCCTATTTGATTTTTTTTAAGTAATCAACAAGAAATTCTTAGTAAAAAGGTTTGAAATTGTTTTACGATGGTAAATTTTTGTCTTGGGTATATTAAACACATTTTGAAGTTATTAAGCAATTGTTGTATCTTTTTTAGAACATTGATAAATCGCGTCTGAATATTTGAATTTACAATCTGATCAATCAACAGGTCTAAGACTGGGACAATGTGTTTGTTCTTTTCTACGAATTTACCCCATTCTGTATTTAATGAATTGTGATTGCCTAGAAATTGAGAATGTTTCAGTGTCTTAAGTTTGTGGAAACAACGAAGGTTATAATTCCATCCATGGATCCTGTATAAACTTACGGAAAAAAGCCTAATTTAAAACTTTAAAAACTGTCTCTCAATTTTCCTTGTCAATGAAGAGACATTTGCACTCTTTCTATTTGAATAAAGTCGTATAGGAATATTTTGAAGAAAACAGAATATTTTTCAATAGTTTTTAGATCATTTCTCCACATGACCTCATGAAGAAGAGGAACGTTCTCTCTGAAAATTGGAAGTTGTCTCATTTTAGATACTAAGAACTTTAGTGCCCGTGTATTTTCAGTGTTCGAATTATAAGCTCAACTAACGATAAAAGTCTTTTTTTTTCTACAAAATCTGTGTTTTTAAAATAAAAATTCTTTCAGAAAAAAATCCTTTGATCTAGATATCAAGGCATGTTTTTACCATGATGTTTTGATGTTTATAGCTATAACCCACGTACTACCAAACATAATTAATTCCATGTTTACTTCATACAGTTCTAAATTCATGATGCGGTCAAGGGGGGTTGCTGAAAACACTGTATGTTTTATTTTTATCTATGCACATTTTTATTCTCTAGCTAAATGTAAATTAAAAATAACTTAATGCTTTTCTAATTTAATAATTTGTGTGTGATTATTATCTTTAAATTGTCATAATTTTTTTTATCAAGTAAAAAGACCAAATTTGAATACAATCCCGGGGGAAGGACCCATAGGACTTCTGACATTTTTTTTTTTTAAAAAATCGTACCTTTGAATAAAAAGTGCCATGGCTTCTTTAATTGAAGTCAGTACAACTCATCATTGAATATTGGCCTCTCCCCTCTTCGACTGGAATTTGCTGTTTGTGGTGGTTTAGTGATGTGCATAGATGAATTAAAATTCGTCAGATATTAGTTTTAAGTAAAACAAGTAAAATTTATTTTATGTTTTAATTTGACTAGTTATTATCGTGTTTAATGACAAAAAATAGATTCTGAAGAACAGTCTCTTGAGAAAGAAAATTGATTGCTGTTGAACTCTCCTTGAATTCCATAATTCTGCATAGTGAAAGAAAAAAAATAAGTGATTTATTTCACAATTCAATTTGCAGATGGCTCTTGCGTAAACAACATTACATAAGACGTTTCATTTGGAAAATTTTTGTTTATCTCGCACTGAGACAGTTGTTTATTGAAATCTTTGAAAATGCACAAATATTTATAAGTTAAATTTTAATTTTACTCCCCTTAGTCATATTTTTTAGAGAGAATTAATGAACGATCCTACCCTAAAACTGTGTATAAATTGATATGATTTGAAAAAAATACAGTGTGTATAAATTGACATGATTTTAAAAAAAATAACAGGGAATAATTTCTTTTGATTTTTTTCAGTACTATTTTAACATGAAGAATAAATTTTCATAAATACATGCATGGAATCAATTCCTCTCATCTGGGGAAAAATTGGAACTATCTTTTTCAATTCTTTGTAGAAGCAAGGAAAAGTAATTCACTGCCGATGAATATATATGCAGATCATAATAATAGGCAACACGTGTCTAGTTTGGCACATCTGACTTTTTAGCATTCTAGCAGCATGCAAACACGTGTAAACAATGGTATTATAGTCTAATGGTTGGTCGTCCCTGTTCGATTACTATAGCCGATGAGGGCTAATAATAGGAATGATGTATTTAAAGGTAGTTTCATTTTTTATTCATAGAAAATGCCACTTAGATCTTTAAAATAAAAAAAAATCATGTAATATCTGAGGAAACTGCATTTTTAATGAAACAAATAGATATGCAAAATAAGAGAGATTATTAAGAAGCAAACAAATTAAGATATTAATGCCATCACAAAAAACATGTGTCAAAGGAGATGCGTTATAAAGCCTTAATAAATAACACCCCAGAGAGAGAATTTATTTGCTAACACCTAATATTGACATGAAAATAATTGAATTTGAAAATAGACGGTTTCTAAAATTGAATCCGTATTGGATATTTTTCTTCGAGGGAAGACGCAATCTTAGGCACAAGGGATGAGTTTCTTGGAAACCTAGGTTTATATAACTGACGATGAAATGTTGGTTTTACTGACTGAAGCATCATAGCACAGTGACGCTATATGTATTGTTTTTTGTGAATTCTGATGTAATTGCAGATGAGCCGTATCTACCAGGACTAGATGTGATCTGAAGTCAGGGTCTAATGAATAGGTGTGCACTCTATCATCAACCACCGTTAATAGCTACCAGGCGCTGGAGATGGGCACATGCTCGCTTGATGGCATCGCCGTGTTGAAAAAATATTGACGGGTATCTATGGTTTAAAGAAAAGATATACTGCTACATTTTTGTTTTGGGAAGTAACACTGGTGAAAATATAAATCATGGAAAAGGATTCGTCAAAGTGTGTGGCTTTAAAAAGTGGAATATTTTGTGTTATAATTTTAAAGTTTTTTATTTGGACTGCGAATTGTCAAAGGGCTCCAAGAGCAGAACTTGACATCATTCTGCCGGATGTAGATAAAGTCGTCAAATCCATTAATAATAGAAATTTGTTCGGTATCATGAGATCCATCAGAAGAATGTACTCTCCATTTCCAAGAATTATAAAACTGGAGAACAGTAATCCGAGCGAGATTCTAGAAATTTTCTGTGAAACCGTGTTTAAAAAGAATGTGAATGCTTTAGTTCACCTGAGTGTCACCAGAAAAGCGGAAAAATCTAAGGATTACATTCTAGGTTTAGCAACTAGTCTTGGACTTCCGGTCCTTTCGTTTGATCCGGATTATGTGGGGGCGCTAGAGGTAATATTCTCTTCTTCCCATTTATTGAAAATCTAACATTAAGTTCATATTCATCACTAACAAGAACGCGACATAGAGAATCATTTAATTTCACACCAGCCAAATTTGCATGCTTTGTTTGCCTATCAAGAATTATGCTTACATAGATGATTTTGAGTTAGTTATTACAAAGCTTGTAACTTTCCACTTTATTTTAAAGCTGAGCATCTCCGTTTTTATGATAGATGTCTAACTTAATGGTAAATGATTTTCAAATATGCAGACAACTAAACTACAAGACAGCGGTGATGGATCGGTAATGTACAGTGAAAGATGCATGAATTTATGTATTTGTATACATCGTATTCTTGGTTTTCTTTCCTTCTTGCGAATGTTTTTGAAAAAAGAGGTCGCCGATTCTGTCATTGATGTTTTTACATTCATTTTTAGATTTAACATTAAATATTGAGATTGAATTTTAAAAACAAAAAGTAAGAATTAAAGAGAGAATGGCTCATAATCTAGTGAAAATCGGCGATCCTTTATATATTCAATAGTCTTCTATCTTTGAATAATATTCTCTTCCTTTATCTTCTGGTCTCCTTAAAATGAGATGCAGAACTGTTATCAGGAAAAAAAAAGTATTGATAAAATCAAGTAAGGTTGCTTTCTATAAACATGGCATATCATCAGTATTATGGCGATTTTTTTCAGGAAACTTTCTTTTAAAACTTTGCGAAACAAATCCGTTTGATAAACATTGAGAGACTGCGAACCGTTTAATGCATACCAAATTTGATTTACTTTGTTCGATACAGGACCAGCTTGTCTCGTTGAACGATTACATGACAATGTCGGAGACATGGCGATGTCATTCCGTTAAATGCTCCCATTGATCTGTGATCCGGGTTTTCAATGCCATGCGTTTTCTGTCATTCACACTCAATTCAGTTGGTACTTTTGAATAACTGATGAGAAATGAATGGATTTTAAGCTATGTTCAGAAACTAGCCAGAGTGAAGTTAGTCAACGGTTTTCCAAAATCGTACAAATTATATATATATATATATATATATATATATATATATATATATATATATATATATATATATATATATATATATATATATATATATATATACATGACTTCATATATTGCATATCTTAAAATTAAACTGCACAGTGTCGCTATTTTATTAGTGATTTGCAATGAGTATTAACTTCAGTACTTTAAAACCAATAAATTGCAGGACTTTTCCATCTCTCCATTACGCGAAGTATCAATATTGTTCTTCTGATGATTTTCGTAATTGTAAAAAAAGTCCCTCGAGAAAAATACAAATTGATTTTGAATGTTCAATTTCACACCCAAAATTTCATTTATGTATCATAAGAAGAAGGATATTTTACAGAACGTTCATTTTGTTACTACATTTGTATTCCAAAAGCACGTTTTTATTATACCAAATCACGCACATCATAACATGGCGTCGTTTTCACATTTGAGAAACTCTAGCAGCCTTATGAGGTATTAAATAAACCCAGCAGCAAGAAGCCGGTGAAATATAACACAAGGGAATTCGTAAACTGACAGTAAAACCTCCACCGAGGTTGGCTTTGTTCTTACTTGTAGCTGAGAGTTCTCCAGAGCACTAAATCCTATACATTAACCTGTCACCGTATAGTCTTAAGTTTTTGTGTGAGTAGAGTGTATCAAATTTCTTGAGTTCCATATAGGGATCAACTATCTCTGTCAGAATTTTGTTCAATGCGGAGATTTTCTTTGGAGGATAACACTTGGTAGTTTTAGAACAAAGAAGATGGGCGAACAAGGAGGGCGAAATGCCTATGGTGCGACAAAATAATATGACGGTGAAAAATTAAATCTTAATTTTCTTTGATATTTCATCGAACATTTAAGTATACTTTATGTATGCATGTAAATCTCCACAATTTGCACAAATCTCGCAAGGGTTGAATTTATTTGTCTGTGAAATAGCATACACACACCAAAGAGAGCAAAAAGGATCATTTCTCATATTATAACACATTTCATATAAGTGGATCTTTGCTTCCTTTTTGAAAGTTTATTCCAGAAATACTTGAAGTCCATATGCAAGTCTCAAAGGAAAATGATACTCGGGATTTTTATTGGTAGGGTTCGAACCCCAAGAATTCCACATTTTCTTAAATAATAGAGTAATTTTTGCCGAGAAAATTTCCCTCAGAAAAGTTTTGTTTATGAAAATTTCATAAATTTCAATAATATGAACTTTACCCTAAACACTAAATTCACAAATTGAGTATGATTTTTATATATCTGAAGCTATAGGCATTCTGCACGCCTTGTTCGCCCATCTCCTTTAAAGTTTGTATTTCTCTTACTCTATTTTGTCATTACTTCAATGGTCTCAAAATAACGTCAAAGGTGATAAATGAATTAAGATATAGGAAGCATGTTCTATTTGTTTCACATATTGATGTATTTACAATAGCAGTGTAGCTCTCTCTCTCTCTCTCTCTCTCTCTCTCTCTCTCTCTCTCTCTCTCTCTCTCAAACTTAATTAACAGTGAAAAAACAATAAATAAATCTAAAGGTGTTAGTTTGCTACACCTATATAATATAATTCATATTAAATAATCAAGTTTATGGGTAAAGGAAAATTCATTTAACCATCTTTGAACTTATTGTATAGATCCGATTAACTATGGAGAAATCATGTTAAAAAGGACATCGCTACTTATTTTTTCCCCAACAAAATTCATCAAACAACAATAAAATTTCTGGACTATATCTTGAGGGCGATTTCCTATTCTGCTCATTCATTTAAATAGAGAAGATGACAATTCTTTGCGACGCTGTCAAGGTGTGATGGTTAATTAAAATCTGCTAGCTTCAGAAGTTAATAATTGGCTGTAGTTGGCTGTATAACTGTTGTCTTAGGATAAACCTTTAAACTGGTCAACAGGGAATGCTTCTTATGAATGACGAGAAAGTGATTTAATGGGAAATATCGCTTTTATCACGCCACACGGATGCCCGTGGTATACTGAAATTATTAATGAACATTTACACTATCTTATTACGGGAGGTGAGCACCTGCTGAGAGCTGCTCACGCCTGGAGAATTTTGATATGTTGCAATTGTTTTCCGGGGTAATTATTATGTACAACCTTTTCGGTTTTATGTGGACTGTCAAATGTTTTATTCCATTTGATGATCTTTTTTGTTACCATTTATATTCCGCAGATAGGTGTCGTCAGAAGAGTATCCATTCCAATCCCAAAACAACTGATGTTGTTAAAGAAACAAGGAGGTTTTGCGTCTCTTAAATGCTAAAAACTAACTGACAAGACAAAACTTTGTCTCTGCTGAAATTATTTAATCGTGGTACACGTTAACCTTCAGATCTGGATGAATATAACCAGAGTCGAAACACTCTGAATGCGTAACTTGCTAGTAAAGGCATGTAGTATACAACAATGTACAGCAATGTGAAGCATTAAACTTTTGAACTTTCACAGACTTAATAATGGGGGATATTAAGTCATGCTACACCCCGTGTTTTTGTGTTAAGTTGAATAGTAAAACCCATACATCATAATTAACTATCAGTGGTTCATTCTGTGTGCATAATTAGTTCACTGTTTTCCTCTCATTATCTACTGCGGCGGAGTTTCAATCACAGAATGGAATCGTTAGGGTTCCCAGCAACAAAACTTCAAATTTTCTTATGATTAGTTTGGTGTATGTGCATCCTTAACCTTTAAACTATATCTTCACATGTAGGTGAAAATAAACAAAGAAGCTTATTTTATTCATGATTGCAACAACATGCACACTTTATTAGCATAACTACGATTATTAGCTTCATGTCTTTGAATGTTAACGAGAATTTTTTATACAGAAAAATCTCTCTGTAACAAAACAGACAACAAAGGAAAACCATTAAATATTTTCTTTGATATCTTATCCTCCTTTGTGTTGCTTATGATATATATTGGGAGTTGCTGAAAAAATTGCTTTGTAAAAATGAGGAGAGAGATGGCTTTTTCACCCTCTCAGACTAATACGTGCAACACTCAATATCCCAGGGTCATATCACAGAACGCGCCTTTATGGATGGAGTTTGAGGTCGAGGAAACATAAAGATAACATTTCACCATTTTATAGATATCAAAGGAGGGCTACTTCTAGGTGCGACTTTCTGCACTTTTTGACAGATTGGCCTTTATCTATGTGTTTGTGAGAGCCAGAATCCGGAATGTGACAGAATGTCAGAGAAGTTAATACCCTCTCCCTCAGAATTATATGATTTGTTTTGGCTGCCTCAGATAGAGAGCTTGGGATTCTGTCCAAAAGTATTAATGTCAAGCTTTTTATCAATAATAATGTGTAGTTATATGCAATTTACCTCGTATTTTAGACTTCATTAATAAAATAATCGTGCAATCAAGCTTTTGCAGAAAAATATACCATTTTATAATTCTTTAATTTACAATTTACGGGACAAAATTGGCCTTTGGTACCACAATGAGTTGATATAGACCTAATAGCACAATAAAATTTGTCGAGTCAAACCGTCACTTATCAAAGTCCTGAAAGTACTGAAACTTATACTTTTAAAAAAAAATCTTAGACTGTTTTCTTCAGAACTTGAGTCGTTTTCTTTGGTGTATGTTGTAACTATCCTGGTATATATCATGTGTATTTTCTAATTTAGCTATACTTACTGGATATAATATTTTTGTCTTTCTTTGTTGTATGTAAGAATTAAGACACCGTCTTTCAATATATTTCCATTTGTAAGTCATTAAATTATAATTTTAATCATATTTGAAACGTTTTATAGCTAATAATAAAAAATGGTACTTTCTACGAATTTCATATATTTTAAGATATGAGTTCTCTTTATTTTCAGAACTATAATTTTAACCAATAATTTCAGCGGTAGTCTCTATGTTCTTTCAGTCTATGTACTATGTACAGTCAGTGAAACTTTATAAAGAAAATAAAAATAGAATAATTAATTAAATAAATAAATGTTAGTGTAAATACATTACTACTTGTGTCTTTGGATATACGTATATGTTTCATTAAAAAAATACATGTACCTGGTGTTCTTCTGTATGATCTTGTACATGCATATACATATATATAAATTACTGTACCTGTTTTGCATTTCTGCAGTAAACGCTCTACTGAAGTTCGTTAATACATAAAGTGTATGTAAGATAAAAACATTTATCATGGACTCGTTAAGAAGCGCCTCAAGGATCATTAATCAGAACTGAGACACTTCTATTCAGCTGATCGTTAAGCTGGAGTTCCAATGAGATTTAGCGTAGCGATTTCATTTATGTCAAATTTATCATCCAAATTTCATAGATTAAACCCTAACAAAATGAGATCTTGACACAGTGTAAAGGAAGAGATGTATAAATCTGGTAATTTTTTTAAGAGTACGGACTTAATTAGGCAGAGCCTAACCGTTAAGAAATTTAACATAACATTTTCCCATCTTTTTTATTGACAATATTTTTAAACTACTTGTAACTAAAGAAGATTACTAACCTGTAAGAAAACTGCTTCTCAGTGAAAGATTGTTTCAAGTAGATGTCATCTGAATTACTTCATATACATTTCATAAGGAAATCAATTAATTCATTCAAAAGAATTAAGTCAGGTTAAAAATTCATGTAATCTAATCACGTAATTTCAAAACCCTTTTGAAAGAAATTTACGAGCCCTCAGTTATAAGATTAATAAAAATTGTCCCTTTGTAGAACCCCCAAAACAGGATGGTCCTGCAGTTGGCCCCCACCCTTTACCACCAGGCCCAGGCTATGCTCAAGTTTATGATGACCTTCAACTGGACACATTTCACTGTGGTATCCACGACGGAAGACAACAATTTTGACTTTACTGCAGCTTTAAGGACACTTGTAAAAAAGAATAATGACGTCAACATCCTCAGCGGCCAGTTTAGGTTTTGAAAACGAGACTGTGCAATATTCTTTCAATTTTATTACTTTTTAAGGAGATCTTTAATCGTGTATATAGATTTAAAGAAAAAAACTTTCTTCTTTTATAACAACAAATCATAAACAATAAACAGGTAAATGTATATCTGCTGTCTTTAAGTTCTAGTTATGTTTTCAACCATACTTTTCAAAATATTATAATAATATTTTTTATCTGAATCTGCATCAGTCAAATGTTTCAATTCAGGTTCAAAATTATGAAAGAGATCATATTTGAGTACGATGACAATGATTCATATGACGTCATGACTCAGAAGGCCGTCCACTTCTTCAGAACACAAACCCCGAAAGACACCAGGATTTTCTTATTACAGTAAGTATGATGCTGTATTCAGGGAACTTCTCATTATATTATCAGTACAACAATATTTATCTTACTAAACATCTCCACCTCACAGCAGAACACAATATTATGTACAGTAGTCAGTACTCCGTGTAATTATATCATAGCCTTTTTATTGCTGTATAAATATGCAATTATATATCCATATGTTTATACAGAACCAACTTATTATGGCTAAATAGATAGTATTAAAAAGATATATTCATTTTGCTTTTTCAATAAAAATGGAACTCGTAAATTTACTTACCTTGTAATTGGTCATTTGCAAAAATTATTTTGTTAAAAAACATTCTGATTGTACACACAAGTACTCTGAAGTTGATATTAAAAAGATGCTTGAGTTTCTGATTGACAATATCTATGTGGTTTTGGAGACCAGGTCTTCCAATAATCTATTGGAAATTTTTATAGGTACCAATTGCGCCCCATTATAAGCAGACCTATTTTGTATTCATATGAAGCAGAATTTGTTCAAAATCGTGAAAAGAAGAAAACACTTGCTGTGGCCTTCAACTCGACATTTAGATATATCGACGACGTATTGTCAGTTAACAATGGTTATTTCCATTCGTATGTCGATACGATATATCCCAATGAGCTTGAAATAAAAGATACCACAGAATCTTACACATCTGTTTCATATTTGGATATTTTACGAGAAAAAGACGTTAATGGTAATCTAACAACCAAACTTTGTGATAAACGTGATGACTTTAACTTTTCAATCGTCAATTTCCCTTACTTACGCAGCAATATACCTTCATCACTTGCATACGGGGTTTATATCTCTCAGTTGATTCGATACGCAAGAGCGTGCTCTACGTATGAACAATTTCTAAAACGTGGTAAGTTATTGACAAACAAGTTGATGAAACAAGAATATCAGCAGTCTCGTTTAAAGTCGTCATTTCGTAAGTTCTATGGTCCATGACCTTGTCAGCAAATATAATTTTTCATTAAGTCAAATGCTGACTGACGTTTTTCATACTAATTGTTAGGCCATTATTAACACACTGAATTGTCGACAGATTTTTCCGTTATTACCCGATGATGACAAGGAGCACACGGCGGGTGTGACCGGTCTTCATGGGATGCTCACTCCTCCATGGCACCTGATCCCACCTCTGCTCCAAAATTTGTATTGTTTGGAGGACTTTTGAGCTTGAATACTGTTCGTTATCTCCATACATTTCATTCAGTCTCTTCATCGCAATATATTGAAAGAAAGATACAATTCTTTGCGAAAACCTTTGGATATATTTCGAAGGCCTGTAATTGAAATAGGCACAAAAAACCTTAGGGGGCACGAAGTTTTATTCTGTTTTGGAAAAATAATGTAAAAGTAAGGGAGAAAATGCGACGAACTAGACCAGATTCGAACCCTGCATGGTGCCAAAACACTAATCAGGTATCCTTTTTTTAAAAGAAAAAAAATCTTTTATTAATAATCAGTAAATGCATCACTTTCAGTTGTATAAAATCAAATTAAAAATTTTACAAACACAGTCAAAAAATAAATAAAAAAGCATCATTAGTCAGTTTAGTTAAAGGAATTTCCATCACAATGTTTATCGCATATTATAGGTTTACATGTATATTAAACTAAGTGTGCACCAAAATTCCAGATAAAATTACAATTACTATTTTTGAATATTTTTCTTGCCCACTGAGAGATTGAAATAACCGTCAACGTGTACCATAATTTAGCCATTAAGAAAGCAATTGGCTACAATACTAGTAGTTCTTCCTTGAATCGATCAATGTCTATTTGATTTTTTTTGCACTTGATCTCCACAGCTCAATATTCATATTCTATATGATTTTTACCAAAATAAATACCAATTATTTTCATGACATTTGTTTGAAAAATATTCAGTAATATTTGTTTATGTTAAAAATATTTCCATTTCCTATGCACATAATATCAGACTTCTGAAAATTTATTTTGGAACCAGTTGTGTTTCCATACAACCCCCCCCCCCCAAAAAAAAAAAAAAAAAAAAAATTAAACAAAAAAAAAAACCAAAACAAAAAAAAAACAAACAAACAAACAAACAACAACAAAAAACAAAAACAATTCAAACTTCAAAAATTAAGTTTTTATTACAAACAGCCAGTTTTGTACCATCTATTTACCCTCTTTTATCAAACATTGAAACTGGAGAATCCTTTATTAATTCATTTTGTTGTATAATATGACTTAATGGCTCTGCAGATAAAACATATAACAAAGACGATGTCGGACAACCTTGTTTAACTGAATTCTTAATTGGAAAATATCCTGTTAAGAATCCGTTTACTCGTCAGGTGCTCGACCAAGTAAGCTATCTGGCCACCGACGATCGAACCTGCCTGACGCCACAGTAAATTTGTTCATTAGTAATTTTTATCTTTTAAGCAAATTAAATTTGTCTAAAGGTGTTTGGCAAATTTGGAGATTGAAGGTTAACTTGTGAATAAGTTTTTTTAAAAAAAAAATATTCCATGCTGTTTTTAATATAAACGGCTACAAAGAGTAAATTAAAACATACATCTTATTTACTGCACTTCGTTTCGTTTCGGAATACCTCACACTTCTTAACTGCATTTTCTATTTTAAATTTCAAATTTGTGGCTCTCCAGTAATAATTAAAGTCAGATTTCTATTCTTATGGTGCAGATATCTTGGGGAAAAAAATACAACAAAAGATCATTAATAAAACAAAGCGTTAGAATAGCTGCAGTGCTTGTGGAAGTCATTTTTTGTACTTGATGTTTTATCCCGGGAATGATTTAATTATGGCTGACGCTGACGTAACGTAATAAAACCACGTGGGACATACTGTTACTGAGATCAATATCAGTAGCTATATACATAACTGTTAGCTACCTCCAAAAAATCTACTTTCGTCCGTTTCTTCTAGATTGAATCCATTATTTCCAGACTATTTTTCGCTGTGTAAGCTTTTTGTACAAAAAGATTCAGTCTATAGAGAGTTCAGTATTATACAATTATTGCTGTTTTTGAGGTCAATACGATGATTTAGACACCTGAGGAGTACAATATTCACCGAGCCCGAAGGTCCATTAGTGGAGGACCAGCCTTTCAATGAATATTTATAGTCTAAATGAAAAGTAAAAATTTACGTTCAGAATAAGAGTGTTGGAGGGGGAGGGGTCCCCTCCCCCCCCCCCCCCCCCACAATTATATATTCGCTAATGTTATGTTCACCTGAGTGGAAGTCGGTAGCAAGTGAAATAGCTTTCCAAAACTATTGTTATTTATTTAGAATTTCCCGATTTATTTCCAGACCAATGTAGAGAAATTAAATCCTTATAATCACCTGGAAGGTTACATGCAGGTGAACATAACGTAGTTTGTTTGTTTGTTTTGTTTTGTTTTGTTTGTTTGTTTTTTTTTTTTTTTTTTTTTTTTTTTTGTTTTTTTTTTTTTTACATTGTTGGATCTCAGCCAATCAAAGAGATAGGAATTATTCAATCATATAATAAATATATTTATCACATGTCCCCTGTATCCAGTGGATATCACTCACTTGGTACATTTTTATTGTATTCCGACACCTCGTGATATTACATTATTGAATACATAGATGATCTGTGTGCATTTGTATCCATAGAAATTCGATTATTCATTGGAATAAAAAAAGCATTTTTTCCTTTTTTCAATTTTAGTTAGTATTTCTAGAGGCGCAATATTGCTAGCTTTATTAAACGGGAAAGCTAAATGCGTTAAATAATAATGATAAATATATTTAAAAGATCCAATATACATGTATTATGACGCTTTACTGAGTTGTGACAAATAATTCAACAATATAAAATGATTTTTTAAAAGTGACTTTCCACTGAATTCAGATAACTAGTAAATCAAATACATGTAAATCTATAATGTCTGTATGCCAGTTATTAAGTTTAAATCCAAATTAAAACTGGGTTTTCTTCCTAAAAAGTCATGGGCTTTCTAAATGTATTCAAAAAATGAATTGATTTTATGTAGAATCTACGAAGTAATAAGAATTGAGAGATATGTCATTTATATCCGCAAAAACTTCAGACGATATGTCGTATTTGGAAGAGAAAAGAGGGTACTGATCGTTCTTCATCAAAATTTCTAATCTTTCATACGTTGAATTCATCTGTATATATTAAAGCCCTCACACATTGTTCATGATAAACACAGATGAAGATGCATATTTTCAAGTGAGCACATTTTTTACTTCACCAGGATTTCCTCCATTTGTTTTTATTAGTGTTAACCTGTTATCTGATACCATTTTGTAATTCTTATTGATTGAACAGCACCCCTTTTTTCACCAGCAGCAGGTGATAAATGCTTGCTTTTTGGTAATTTTTGCTTTATTTAAACGATGCCATGATGGTGGAAAATAGATGGCTTCACAAAAAAAAATTTCAGATAAGAACATCTGCAAACAACGTGCTTAACGAGCACTGTCTCATCTGTTGGATTTATTTTACTAAACTCATGACGATTTGTAGAGTCTTCAAGATGATATAAATGACCTAAACGTTTCAAAACAAATACTTAAGTTGCATAATCTGATTTTTCATTTCAGATATATTTTTATTAAACATTCATTTATAAATATCAACATGTTTCTGTCACAATGTACATAGGTAATTAATGGTTATTAGGATGCTCAGTTTATCCAGTATAAGAACAGAAACCTGTGATCTGGTATTTGTGAGCAGATACCAATCTTGTTATAACCCCGTTATCGAAGATTCGTGGGTCATATAGTTTTTGTTCTGTCCGTCCGTCTGTCTGTCCGCAAAAACTTTAACCGTGCCCATCTTTTGGTTGATTGGAGCTATGTCTTTCATATTTCACATGTATATTACTTGGGACAAGACCTTTCTTTAGTACCAACATATTTGACCTCTTGACCTTGGAGTTTGACCCATTTTTGCAAAATTTTACCACACTTTTAACCTTGGCCATAACTTTTTTGAACGGTGGATGCTAGGGCTTTAATACTTCACATGTCTATTTCTTGTGATAAGACATTATAGTATTTATTAGGGTATAAATATTGTTTGCCTTTTGACCTTGACCTTGGAGTTTGATCAATTTTTAAAAACTTTAACTTTGGCCATAAGTCTTGTATAGTTGGAGTTTGTATTTCACAGGTGTATTCCTTGTGACAAGGTCTTCTCTAAGGTACCAACAAGTTTGATCTTCTTACTTTGACCTAGCTTTGAGTTTGACCTACGTTTGAAAAAAATAACCTTGGCCATAACTTGAACGGTTGGTGCTAGGGCTTTCATATTTCACAGGTGTTTTCCTTGTGACAAGAACTTTCTTTTGGCACTAACATTTTTAATCTCTAAACCGTGGAGTTTGACTTGCATTTGAGAAACTTTAACCTTTGCCATGAGCTGCCATACGAGGGCCTCAGTGTTTCCTAAACACATCTTCTTTGAATATTTATCATTCACCAGTTTTTTTTTAATACTTGTACTTTAATTGCTTGTGTACATGTAAATCAAATTTTAAAGTTCAGGTCAGGCGAAAACCCTCTTGGACGCCGCTGCAGAGGCTGGTTTAACTACATACAAATATTTATGGATTGTGACATCACAGAGTATCGGAATTCCCACAAAGAGAGCTTCCAGGTCTTATCCACTGGGAACAATAGGTAGATATTTTGAATATATATTTATATTATACATATGTATAAGGGTTCCAGAAGGGGATCACAGGAAACGTGTTTTTAACAAGATTTTATTAAACTTCATGAAAGTAATGCTTATATGTGCGTTCATGGTTTAAATGACTGTAAGAAATCAAAGCATTCCAAACATAATGTGGTGAAAACTTGTTACACAGATGAAAATGTATTCCAGGTGTGAGTTACGTGACAACAGACAGTAACTATGCAGATTCTGTCTACAGAAGAGCTGTAGAGGTGGGCGTGGCCACCTGGGTGGGAGCATTGCAGAAACTGAGAGGGCGTGTCCTTCAACCGGATTTCACATGCAATACTTCCGTCCCTGCTTCACCCTGGGACGCTGGACATGAATTATACAAGTAAACAATAAGTTATAGGATTTTTGTATGAAAAATATTCGAAATTTTTTTTAAATATTTTAATGACTCATATAAAAGCAATATAATGTATAAAAAAAAAAAAAAAAAAAAAAAAAAAAAAAAAAAAAAAAACACACACACACAGAGGTTTGAAATCAGACTTTGTGCAAATATTACAGTCGAAATCCGTTCCGATTTAAAGTTCAGGTAGAATGCGATATCATCAAGGGGCGTTCTGAATACTTGGCGCTAGTCTCTGGATGATAACGAACCAAAATCTTCGCTGCCGATCGCGTGTTTCCTCGACAGGTAGTCAACCTTTATTACTAAATGTTGTCCAATGTATTTGACATGTTTTGGGTTAATCTCCTTCTAATTCTGTAAGCGCACGCTTTATTTCCGCAACCAATCTCCTATGTGGTCGCAGCTGTTTTTGAAGTACCATTTCTGATTGAAAGACCTCTGTGTATTTCGGTTTTTTTTTTAATTCAATAAGGAAAAAAATATTTAATTCCTTTTAAACTAATGACAAGTTATGAAATAAACTGTCATTATAATGATTATCTGAAAAAAATAAATAAATAAAATTCACCATTTGCAACCAAAAAAAAAAAAAAAATCAACCGAAAGACTTTATTTTGAATGTTTAAAAATTCCAAAGGTTGGTGAATCTGCAATTCACAAGAAATATTAAGATATTTCCTCTTCGGCACAACTTTCTTCCGTGAATTTTAAAAGGAAATTACCGTTAAATTTCGTGGTAAAATAGGAAAGCAAAGTCTCTTGGTTTAAGGTAGTCCGATTCTCAGGTTCTGAAAATCGGCAGTTAAGTAATTGAAAATGTTCACAAAAATGTCTCTAAATTCACAAAGCAAAAGGCTGTATTAACCCGTGGTATTTCTTCAAAGTTCATAATTATAGTTAATGATACTATATAGAAAAAAAATTATCAAATCTCAAGTACATTTTCTAAGAAACGCGAATTAAAGCACCAGCTATTCATTTTCTAATTGAAAATTGATCAACAAATATATCTTAGAATAGAAACAATAGATATCCAGACAATCGGAGAAAATTACATGTTTTTCTTTATACTTAATATAGTGTATTTCAGTTCTTCTATTGACTGAAATTGTTATATAATATGTAGAGTAATAAGCTTGTACTATCATTGCAAGATATCAGAGATCACTTTCAATTTCATATCAAGCAAATAAATATTGGTGTTTAAGGTTGCATTAAAGGAAATTCGATTCCTCTAAAAATGTATTCATTTTTGTACTTTTATGGGGTACAAATGTCAACTTATTAAAAGACCGTTTGTGAGACTTCAAAGAACCCTGAATCATATTTAGATGCATGAAATTAAAATCTTTGCATGAGAAGATTTCAATTTCAATCTTCATTTTGAGCCTTTTTTAATTAAATGATATTTGTAAGAGTTGTCTTTCCTTGCTAAGGAGCGGATATCCTTAAACTGTTAAAGTTAACATATCTGTGAACAAAGATAATCCATTCGATGTTTTCATTTTTTTTTAAAGTTTGACATTTGAATTGAAATCAAAGCCACATGATTATCATATTGGTATCTCTTGAAATAAAAATACTTTTCTGTATAACTTTTTTTTATAAGTATGATCCTTATAATACATTCTGTATTTATATAATTGTGAGTTATTTAACTATTCTGATTATAAGCGAAAACAAATGCTCTGTTAAAGTTTTTGGATTCGAAGAATATAAACTAACCATAACATTTTTTTCTGAAATTAAAACTTCAGTCAAATTTGAAAGCTTATTTCAAAATTATTTTCCAGCATCTTCATGGATACATTTTAAATCTTTTAACTTGCCCTTTTAATCTCAGCTTGATGAAAACCTATGAAAACACACGAGGGGGAACTCTTGTCAGCTATGACGAAAACGGCTTGAGTCGGAATGTGGAACTAAACATTCTTAATGTACAACTGGAGGGGTTCAGCAATGTGTGGCGAGAGGTACAGCATGTCATTGTTAAAATAAAGCATCAGGTACGCTAGGCATAGGATTTACCATTAGCCAAGAGGGATGGCAAGGAGGCCATTATTCTCCGAGAGAAATATTTAATCAACTCTATTTGTATTAAAAAAAAATTTTGTTTAGGTTTTTTTTTTTTGGAGAATGCATTTCTTTTTCACAAGATGATTGATTAGAAAATGTATTTTATTTATTCTAATTGATATGTCATTCCTCCTAGACAAGCAGAAGACAGCAACGATTTTTTCTCTCCTTTTTATATCTAATTTAAGTTGTTTTTAGCAATCGTACAATTAATATACACGTTATTGTGCTAACAATTAATATGGTTACATATTATATACATGCTATTGTGCTAAGAATATGAATAATACGTTATCAACGGGTTTGTTTTTCGAAAGATCGGAAGTTGGTATGCAGATAATCGCACCCTCACTCCTAAACTAGAGTTGAAAGGGATCACATGGCCGGGGGACAAGAAAATCCCTCCCCGCGGGAGACCTGAGCGGAGGTACTTCTCTATAGCCACTCTGGAGGAGGAGCCCTATGTTATGTACACAAAGAGGAACGAGAAGGGGACCTGTAATCCTCCCGCCGTATCGTGTAGAATAATGTACAATAAAACTTTACAGTAAGTAATAGGTTCTACTCTTTAAACCCAGAATTAACGAAATGATTTTGGCATGTCAAACACAATGTTATTATTATTACCGTTATCAGTGTTGGTGCATGACGGAATAACTGGAACATCGCTATTGTTAGACTTTGTTTTAAAAAAAATAAGATTTTTGAAATTCTTTTACACAGGCATTTCTATGTCATGCCTTAGAAATTATAACAGGGAATCTCTGAAAACGTGACAGATTTTTTTTTTACCGAGTTCACATCTGAATTCTTGGACTTTCTGAGAGTGCCTTGAAATTGAATACTCGTATACCCACTTTTTGGAAAGATAGTTTGGGTACTACATTGTACAATGAAACCTGTCTAATCCGACATGCACTGGGAGAGAAAATTTGTGTCGGAATATCGGAATAGACAGGGTCACAGATTGTACAGTGTAAAAAGCATAGAAAATAACAATTTGGGAATTCAAAATAAAAGGTCAGAGTTCACTTTGAAATAGATTACAAAGGTGTCGGATTAGACAGTTTTACTGTAGTACAATGTATTTTTTTTTGTCCCAGTATGTCCATCTGTCACACTAACTCATCTTTTCATCTTTGGGGGGAGGGGCAATTGGGGGTCGAAAAACCGCGTTTTGTAAAAAAAAAAAAATGACTTCCATTCTTCATGAATTTCTTTAATATCAGACTGGTAATGAATTTATTAAAGTGTTTCTTCAGTTTGGATATCTAAAGCAAATTATTTTATTTTGACACTATTCAACAGTGGCGACGACCCCACAGTAGTTAATGGAACCATACAATGGTGCTGTGCCGGCCTCAGTATAGACCTACTGGAGATCTTTAGAACACGCCTAGAGTTTGACTATGACCTGTTTGAAGTCCAAGATCGTACGTGTGGAGTTAAGAACCAGGTAAGCCTGTATGTCGAATGAATTCTCGTCAGTTTGTCCGAATATATGAATTAAAAAGTAAGCATGATCTACTTGTAACAAGTATATCCTCCATAGAGACGTAAAAACCTTTGGTACATGTATCTAGTTGAAAATTTTAACAATAAGAACTTATTATCTGATTAACGTGTAAATAAATATGACAGTTGTTTCCTTTTCAGTACAACTTTCTTGCATGCTTTTAAAAAGAAAAACATTGTTATATTTTGATATAAAATAGGAAAACAGTGCCATTTGTAAATCAGAAATATCTTTTTAAACAATGAAAATTCACATAAATGCGAAAAAATCAATTGGTGTTCTTGATTTGTTTTGGTGTATATTGATCAAAGTTATCAATATTTTGTTAAAGAAATTATTACCCCCTTGCAATAAAATTAGAGGGGACTTGTATGTGTATGTATGTGTGTGTGGGTGAGTGAGTGCGTCAAGTAGTAATTTATATCGGGATCGATATGTTCTTTTGCGAGGATGCTCCGCCTTGCAGCGCCCTAGTTATCACCATCCGTTTGATCTTTTGTTTTTATTTTTCAAAAATAACATTTAAATTGAATTAAAAATGCATTGAATCTAAACAAAAGTATTGAAAAAAAATAATGTGATTTTTTTTTTCAATAACTTTATTGAATGAGATTGGGTTGTAGGCGTACCTCAAACCTTTTTAAGCAATGAAAACAATATAAATTGTTAATTGACTGCAGCCAAGTCTTTACAAAACCAACCATTTTAAGTTCACCCAAGAAAGAGGCTCAAGTGAGCTTTTGATCAAAGTTTTTTTCCAGCAGATGAAAGTATGTACATGTATATTTCATATTATCACCTTTCCAAAGCTGATCAGTAGACAAATAAATATCAACTAAACTTGCAACATATACTTATGTATACATTTAACATCCTTGGGTGGGGGGGGGGGGGGGCATTTAAGTTTAGTCAAATAAGCCCTTGTCTTTTTTCAAGTGAAGACGAGAAGATTAAGAAGTTGTGAAAAATAAGGTAGTGTCTTCAAAAATATTCTAAAAACTTTCTAGGTTATAGAAAATAAAACATAGATAAAAGCTTCCTTATTGAGTCTAGATTCAAAGTAGTTCAAATTATCCCCCATACGCTGGTTGGGCACAAATGGGGGTCAAAATATTTACATGTATACATGTAGGAAAAGACGAGCTTCCCAAAAACTGAAAGGTAATCGAATAACAAAATTGATATGCAATCATCACCATGTATAACTTGCAGATTTAAATTTCTTCAAGTTAAATGTGGGTTAGGATGGCGCCACAGTAGGTTATCATTAATTTTGATTAGAAAATATAGATGAGAATTTTTATTTAAAAAAATCAAGAGCAATTGGGTGGTAAAGAAAACACCAGTAGATATGCAAGCATTCCAATAAAGTGTACATTAAGATTTGTTGAAATAATGGTCCACGGGACAATTAAGAGTAAGGAAACAGCAAAGGATAAAGTTTTTTTTTACATTTGAATGAATAAAAACATCTTTAAAAATTTCAAAATTTCGCACAGAATTATATAAATTTCTGTGAAAACAAGAATATAATCCGTGCATTAAGTTTTGTTGTAATGTAAATTAAAATTGTGACGTTGAAATCATAGAATTTGATAAGTTGATCGCAACAATAAGACTTTCATTTTTCTACATTGGCATTAAGATGAATGTTGTGGCCCTTGCATTGGTCTCTTTATTGACGTGATATTGAATTAATGAAGTTTTGCATAGATATCATTATTTTATTATCCAATAGGAGATTGTTCATAAGAAAGTTATATCCTCTTGCAATATGTACTTTCGACCAGGTAATTTTTATAATTCTCGTTTAACGTGTAACTGCTTTGGGATTCATCAAAATTATTGTTTTTACACCATCGAACTATTTTTATGACCATTTTACAACACTCTGATGCAAGACTTCTTGATTGAAAACACTCATCTTGTTCATGTTCCTAATTTAATCTCCTGTAGTGAGCAGAAGGCAAAGGTTTAATGACTGGCTAACAGAAAATATTATATAATTGATTTTATTTTTGAAAAAATATGTGGTCTCGAATATATTAACCCTGTCACATCTTACCACTGATTTTGTTTTGGTTGTACAAGTCATTTGCGTTTTGAAAATTCTCTAAAATATAAAAATGTGTACCAGAAAATAAGGGAAAGAAATAGAGAATGCAATTCTGTTTACATTCTTATGGGATGAGAAAAACGCCACTATTATACAAAACTTAAGATCATCCAATCTCAGAAACAATTTCTGGGACTTTCAAAGTTTATAAACAATTCACAGTAAAGAGGGCCTTCCCTACTTTCAAGAAAACGAATCTGTCAAAACAAATTACAAAAGTATCAAAACAAATTCAAGAGAGGCTGTTTCTAACATTATATCTCTATCTTGTATTTCTTGTTCGGCTTGTTTTATTGGTGTGTATTGATGTTTAGCTATAGTAAACATAATTACAAACTGGGTTTTATTAATCTGTTACGATAAACTGAAAAGTTGTAGACAATGTTGCTTCGAGAAATGAGAAATTGCTATTAACAATCCTTTATGTTCACTCCTCTTTGTATTCATGAAAGACAGCATACATGTACTTTATCTGTATAAGTATAATGATATGCTTTTTAGGTCACCTGAGTCACTCAGGTGACCTATTGCTATCCGTTCTCGTCCGTCGGCGTGCGTCGTGTGTTAACATTTGAACATTTTTAGCTTCTTCTCTGAAACCGCTTAACCAATTTTAACCAAATTTGGCATATAGCATCTATGGGTGAAGGGGAACAAAAATTGTGAATTTCATGGTCCCTGCCCCCCTGGGGCCTGAGGGGTGGGGCTAAAACCACCAAAAATAATGCAATCTTTAAAAATCTTCTTCTTTACTCCAGGACATCAAGCAGTCAAACTGTTGGCATCATTGTAATAAGCATTGAGCCCTCTACCAAAATTGTGAAATTCATGGCCCCAGGGTCAGGGGTTCTGGTGCTAGGGTGGGGCTATATAGATCATATAGTGAAAGTGCATTATTTCTTTGAAAATCTTCTTCTCTGCTCCTGGGTATTAAATAAAGTAACTAAGTACATGGTTGTGAAGAGCAAGAGAGCCTCTTCCAAAATTGTGAATTTCATGGCCCCAGGGTCAGGGGTTCTGGTGTTAGGGCAGGGCTCTATTGATTATATAGTGAAAATGCATTAATTCTTTGAAAATCTTCTTCTCTGCTCCTGGGTATTAAATAAAGTAACTAAGTACATAGTTATGATGAGCACAAGTGCCTCTTCCAAAATTGTGAAATTCATGGCCCCAGGGTCAGGGGTTCTGGCCCCAGGGTGGAGCTATATAGATCATATAGTGAAAGTGCATTAATTCTTTGAAAATCTTCTTCTCTGCTCCTGGGTATTAAATAAAGTAACTAAGTACATAGTTATGATGAGCAAGAGTGCTTCTACCAAAATTGTGAATTTCATGGCCCCAGGGTCAGGGGTTCTGGTGTTAGGGCGGGGCTCTATTGATTATGTAGTGAAAATGCATTAATTCTTTGAAAATCTTCTTCTCTGCTCCTGGGTATTAAATAAAGTAACTAAGTACATAGTTATGATGAGCAAGAGAGCCTCTTCCAAAATTGTGAATTTCATGGCCCCAGGGTCAGGGGTTCTGGTGTTAGGGCGGGGCTCTATCGACTATATAGTGAAAATGCATTAATTCTTTGAAAATCTTCTCCTCTGCCCCTGGGCATTAAGGTGATAAACTAAGTACATAGTTATGATGAGGAGGTGGGCCTCTTCCAGAATTATGAAAGCCATGGGCCCTGGGTCAGGGGTTCTGATGTTAGGACGTGGCTCTATTGATTATATAGTGAAAATGCATTAATTCTTTGAAAATCTTCTTTTCTGCTCCTGGGTATTATTCAAACAAACTAAGTGCACGGTTATGATGCATAAGGATGCCTTTTAAAAAATTATGAATTTCATGGCCCCAGGGTCAGGGGTTCTGGTATTAGGGCGGGGCTCTATTGATTATATAGTGAAAATGCATTGATTCTTTGAAAATCTTCTTCTCTGCTACTGGAGATTATTTAAACAAACTAAGTGCATGATTATGATGCACAAGGATGCCTTTTCAAAAATTGTGAATTTCATGGCCCCAGGATCGGGGGTTCTGGTGTTAGGACGGGGCTCCATTGATTATATAGTGAAAATGCATTGATTCTTTGAAAATCTTCTTCTCTGCTACTGGAGATTATTTAAACAAACTAAGTGCATGATTATGATAGGCAAGGATGCCTCTTCCAAAATTTTTAAATATATGGCCTCAGTTTTTGGGGTTCTTGAGGAAGGGGGGGGGCTCTATTGATTATATAGTGAAAAAGCATTAATTCTATTAATTTATCCTGTCTGCTCCTTAGCGTTGAGCTGATAAATAAATTGCTTAGCTATGATGAAAATGGGAGCTTCGAACAGAATTTTTAAATCTTGTGGTCCTAGGGTCAGGGGTTCTGGCATAACGAGGGGGGGGGGGGGCTTTTGATAATATAGTGGAAAAGTGTTAATTCTTTGAAGTCCATAGTTATGATGATGAGGGTAACTCTTCCAAATTTGTAAATTTGTTGACCCTTGGTCTTGGGTTCTGGTATTAGGGTAAGGCTTTGTTGAATCTGTAGTGAAAATGCATTGTACCTGTGAAATTCTTCTCTGCTTCTGGGCATATCGCAAGAAAACTGAGTAAAAGTTTAAATGATATGAGTAAGCATATCTCTACCAGATTTTTAAACATCTGGACCATTGGTCTAAGCATTCTTGTCCTGGGCAGGGCTCTATTGATTTGTATTCTACTGAGAGAAGTTATTCCCCTTTTCCATTCACCTTTGATAATTAATCACTGTAAATAATTTATTTGAAAGGATAGAATAAGATAATTATGCAAGAATGTTTATCATAAAATTCAAAAAGTATTTTCTTAGTTTTAATAATCAGGTAGACCTGTAATTAATAGATAAATAAAAATGAAACAAAAATAACTTATCTGATTAAAAGTTCTTCAAAGACCATAAGAGAGGTCAATGCTAGAGGTCTTAATATGGGTTTTAAAATAGTACAGAAGCACTCATAATTTGTTAATAGTCTGCATGGTGATAGAACTTAATATATGAGTTGATACTGAATACTAGACTAATTATTTTATTGATCCTGATCTTCCTACTTCTCTTGCTTTAGGGCAACAAAGCTTCATCTATCGGTGTATTTAACTTCTAAATTGTTGTATTATACTCAGGTGACCGTTAAGGCCCTTGGGCCTCTTGTTTATATAATACTGCCATCCCACAATTTGACATTGCATGTTCATTTGGGGATAAATCCTTCATCATCAATAAAGGTTGTAAAAACTTACAGAAAACTGGTCAGTGGAACGGTCTAATTAGGATACTCCAAGAGGGCGGGGCCGACATGGCTCTGACGTCACTCCAAATAACACCCAGCAGATCTGAAGCTGTAGAATTCACAGTTCCATATTTGGAAACAGGGACGTCAATTATCGTTTATCTGCGAAATGACACCATCTCAGCTTACGCAATTCTGGGTAAGCCAATGCCAAAAAGTTTTTTTAGTGTATAAGGTAAAATAAATTGACGTATGGATACGAGTTATGGAGAATGATTTTAAAGTTAAGAAGACAAACTTTGTAGCAGCATTAAGGATATCCAAATTTCAAGATTTTTTTGTGTATTATTTTGTATTTTCTAAAATGTAAGAGTTTTTCTCAGGAAAAATTTTGTCAAAGTAATGATATTAAAATAGAATGACATGATAGCACTTCCACTTGAACATGTTTAAATCTACGCAAAATTCTTTCATCACCTTGATTGACTTTATTTTCGTGGACAGAGCCTTATGATTACGGGGCGTGGTGTCTCATTCTCTTCATCAGCGTCCACTCTGTAGGGGCGTCTATTTTTATCTTTGAATGGCTGAGTCCCCGGGGCTTAGATCAAGGGAGGACTCCAATGCGAGGTAACTACCAGGTAAATTTATGTCAATTTCGGGTAAGGTCATCTGTTGTTTTCTGTCTCTGGGCTCATCATGTTACACAGAAGTCTGCATTTTTTAATGTAATAAGTTGATATATAATGACATCATTCAAATCCCCTGTCTAAATCAAAATTGATGTAAAATATTGTCTCTTTCCTAAGTGTTTTAACTTGGAGTTTTCTCTGTTGTATGTAAAATTTATACTTGAAACTTTCGTTTCTTGCAGATGAAAGGTAAATATTTTGTAAAAAGGCTAGATCGAGAGAAATGGAGGTTCCTCGAATGTCTCGCAATAATTCTTTCCAATATCGTTAAATTATCAAAATTGGTTTTCAGTTCTGGTTTTTTAAGCTTACAAATCTATTTCAAATATTTAAGCTAAATACAGAGTAACAGTCCTAGCTGCAGATCAGTTGTCTAAAAAGATATTGGGATGGGCGATCAGAGAGCTACCCTACCACCCATTAGAAAAGTGTGTATTTATTGCGTACAACAAGTGCGCTGTTTCTCGATTTATTTCTCCGTATATTCAAGCTGCCATCTCAAATATTACTATTCGTGTTTTCCTGACAGTTCTGTTACTACTTCCACAACAAAACATTCCCCATAACCGTTATTAGTAGCCCTCCTGGGTCTGAAATTGAGATCATCGAAAATTTTGCATATATAAACTGTCATTTTTGGGTATCAAGACACTTCAGTTCAATGCGCTTTGTGCAGATGTCAACCACGAAAGAAGTTATAGTTTAAGGATTTTTAAAATCAAGCTTTTGTATAGATGAGGTAAAAAAATTTGGAAAAAAATGAATCCAGAATCAACTTTTTGTGTGCAATATAAAATATATACAGGGTTTTTTTTGTATGATTGGCACTTTAGCTCTACTGTCTGTCTATATTTTTTTTCGGAGAGCTACAGTTCTGCAGCTACATTACTTGTTACTGTAATCATAGTACTTTACTAAACTATGAGTTAATTGATACCAATAAAGCAAACTTTTTACATATTATGATATATTATTTCAATTTATTTTCCAAGAGCATTCCTTTTCCCTTTTCCGCTCTTTTTGGTTGATGTGGGCCATGCTTTTTGGCGCCTCAGTGTCAGCTGATAATCCACGTGGTGTGTCGGCCCGTTTCATGGGAAATGTCTGGGCACTGTTCGCTCTAGTGTTCCTCGCCAGCTACACAGCGAACCTGGCGGCCTTCATGATCACCAAAAACACGTTCTATGATCTAGAGGGTATCACGGATTGGCGGGTTGGTGATTTTCCTTCTCTTATACAAATCTATGGAAGTTGTTTTTTATGTAAAATTATTATGAAGGAAACAAGTCTTCATGGTTAAATATTCTAATATTTATATATTATTAAAGCCTTTTCAAAATTCAATTGAGCCTAGCATTACCGTGCAACCTTACACGGGTACACATGTACTTGTATGAAAGAATGATAAAAGTAATCCGTATAAAGACATCAATGTTTTGAACAATATGAAGTACCTCCATAAGCTGTTATAAAGTTCTCAAATTGCAGTTGAATTCCCCTCTTAAACATCAGCCACCTTTCAAGTTTGGGACTGTGTTTAACAGCAGCACAGAGGAAAACCTGCGCGTGAACCATCCCGCCATGTTCAAATACATGCTACAGTATAATACTCGGTCTGTGAAAGAAGCCATTGATCTCCTGAGAAAAGGGTAAGGGTCACGTGATTAGAGGATTTGAACATGCATTCTTTACAACTTATTGTATAAAATTTGTTGAAAAGTTGTATTCTTCAATAGATGCAGTTTGAAACTCCAGACATGGTCCTTTGAGAGAAAATGATTTACTGGTGAACTAAATTGGTTTCTCTTTTTTTTTTTTAAATCATAATTCCTTGCATTAAAGTTGATTTATTTAAACAATAAAATGCTTTCTTTGGTTGTTAGTACGGGAATTAACGTTGCAGCTGTTGCAGAAAAAATGCATTACCCGCGTAAGTGGGTTATGTAATTTTTTTCTGCAAAAGCTGCAACGTTAATTGCCGTACTAACAAACAAAGAAAGACATTTTATTGTTTATACTTATATCTGTACAAATAATCATTTAAAGTAGGATTTAGTAGATGAAAATACTAGTTGGGTATAACTATTAATGATATGTACAGTACCGTCTTTGTACGTTTTATTGATGGAACAGCCACTGCTCAAGATATCTAGATCTGTACAGGTTATATGCTTAATGCTGTTTAGTGATGATTAACGGCAATGGTTTTCGTAAGAAATAAAGGAGATAATATTCAGTAGATGTAAATACATGTATTCTTGGAAAAACTATTGTAATCATTTAGACAATGTATAAATATCAGACCACCCTGTTACAGCGGTGTCTTATAATGCATCATACGCTGGCTCAGCTTAGATCTTTTCATCAGCACAGCTTTAATTTAACTTCGGTTATGAACACTGTTTCTCTATAATTAATATTTTTGGCATGTTAACGGCTTTTAGTCGGTTGTGTTTGTTTCAAACGAAGGTGTTTTGAAACAGACATAACAAACTGTCTCATCCCTCTGTAACTATTTCAAACTTCCAAAGTCTTTGATCATGTAGCTTAACTAAATTGTTTGTTCTAAGACAATGGAAGGAAAAAAATGACGTCTCCCTGCTGATATTTATTGATGTATCCCTGGCAGTAATTTTCACATGAACAAGAAGTGTTACATTGTATCTTTCGTTACCTTGAGTTCTTTAAACATTGATAAACTTCCGGTTACGTAAAGTTAGTTCACATTTGTTCCAATTTTATACGCATACACATAAACGAGATTCCTGAAACAAAGTATAATTCGAATCTCCCATTAGAAATTTTGATACAAGTGTTTTGTTTAATGTTTTTTATTCGATTGTTTTGTTTTTCTTTTCTCAAAGAATAAATCTTTTTTGCAAATGTAAACTGGTGATTGATCTCGGGTTTGAAGCTGTCATGAGGAAATTTTGTCAACCAAATTGACACAAAATTACAATTTGACATAACATTGGCTGCATCTTACCTGTAGCAATATGGAATTTTCCTTTAATAACCATTTTAAATACCAGGTTAAAATAGTAAATGTATCTATTTATTACAGAGAAATTCAAGCCTTTATCTATGACTTCACCCCTTTACAATACCAAGTAGGCATCGATAAAAACTGTCGGTTGATGTTGGTTGGTAAGCCATACGCCATGTCTGGATATGCAGTGGCCTTTCCCAAGGGCCAAACAGAGCTCAAAGAGGAACTGGACGAACTAATTTTAGAATTGCAAGATGACGGTAAAATCATGTTGATGATTTATGTGCGAGTAATCAACACTAGTTACATGTGATAGACTATTTTGAGTCATTTGCAATGCAGTAGTGATTTATTCGTTTCATACTGTATTTAAAAAGTAAAGAGATATGCTTTATGATTTAGGTGAACTCGAAAGACTCCGGAAGTATTGGTTGTCGGGTCCATGTTATTCCAAGCAGCGGATTGGACAATCCAGTCAGAGGCTGCGCGAGCTAAATTTCACCAGCGCTTTTATCCTGTTAGCTTCCGGAATTGTGTTAGGAGGATTACTTCTAGTGATGGAGCACCTGTATTTCCGGTTCGGCCGAAAATATTTGAAAAAGTACGATAAGTGTGGATGCTGTGCTCTTGTCAGTCTGGTAAGTTTGCATCAAAAGATATATGGTTGTTTTTTCATTATTTTTATTTTCTATATGTTTTTGATAAAATTAATATACTTTTTAGCATAAGAAATAATCTTTATCATATATCTTTGTTTATCAAATATCGTCCAACTTGTTTCAGAGCATGGGAAAATCATTAACATTTGAGCAAACAATTATGGAAGCCATAGATTTAAAAAAGAAACACAAGTGCAAAAACCCTATATGTGAAACCCAGCTTTGGAAGGTTAGACATGAATTGGATATAGCCTTGTTAAAGGTCGAAAAACTTACAAAGGAGTTAAGGTAAGTTTTATTCTAGAAAGTAAAGGTAATATTATGAACCATTTCAAAAGAATGATAAATAGCCTAGTTTGCTTACACTAGAAAGGCATATTTTATAATAGTAAAGGGTAAAAATAACGTTTCTTTTGTTTCAGACGCGAAAGGAATTTAAATGCATTAATTTCAAGGCGTAATGAGACTGCCGCTACTTCTGATCCTTTACCAATAGGATGGAAAGACAGTGAAGCAAATGATAAACCCCCCGACTCCACTGAAAATACAGATCTGGATAACCTCAAACCTGATAACAATATACGACGTTCTCCTAGCTATACTCAGGCGGTGACCTCTGACCCGTCAGATGACGACGAGGTCAGGCAACCCGAGAGGTCAGACATTAGGTATAGAGAAGGAAAAGTTTATCAAAAAGTTGATGGTGGCGAAGTTTGAAAAAAGTCGCAAGGATTTTATTTTTTATCATCATGTGATTCAGTATGCTACAATCAGCATTACACCCTCTAATGCTCAGAACCGTCCATTTGTGCCAAACGGCGGCAGACAACAACTATTTGGAGTTTCTTCCCCCTCAAAGCAACGAGCTGAACACCAATGACCACACGTTGTGTGTGTCCTGCTTGAAGGATTATATTAAAGTGCCTTAGTATTAGCCAAACTTGTTGGAGAAAGAATTAAGTTCATCATAGTTTACAATTATTAGCTGCTGATTATCTAACAAGGAAAGAACATTAAGTGAATTTTCAATTAACGTACGTGATTCTATTGTACAGAGTGCAAAATAAGACTGTTTGAAAGTAGATAATGATTATATGTTATATAAATGTTATTTTGTGTATATGTGGGATTAAAGTGTCATTATAACTGTTTAACTAAAAACAATTGTTCTTCTTCTGCTGGGAGTTCCAATTACTAGCTTTTTCCCTCATATGACTAAATCTGAATTCTCGGACATTTTCATGGTACAAGTCGGAAAATCCCGCGATTTTTGTAGGACTGCAAAACTCTGAATACATGTATTATTTTCAGAGCAAAGAAATGGGATATCTCAAAGATCAATTGATCATTAACGTAGGTTTTTTCTTTCATAGTGCAGTAATAGTAGACATAGGGATCATTGCATTGCTTCTGTACAAAAAAAGCAAAGAAATACATGTAGTTTCGTTAAGTAAGAAACGCGAAATAACTCTTCACCGTAAAAGTTAAAATAGGTCTGTTTTGTGTCTCTGGACAAAGGTGCTTGAGGATCCACCTCCTCCTTTAAGATTCCCGTTTTTTGTACTTTTTTAAAATAATTTATAAATGAATTATTTGGGATCTACTAGTAATCCATATCATCAATTTAAAAAAAAAAAGCCTATATCAAACATTTGTAAAAATTCCTACCCTACTCAATAAACAGCTCAAAAAATTTTGAAACCCAGAAGGCTTTTGTTAACAAATTAAATGCACACTTTGGAAATACATGTAAATATATTGCTTCTAACAAAGGCGCAAACGAAAGATGTTATGAAGTTTGCAATTTTATTTAGGTTTTGATATTGTTGGTTGATAATTTACTTTGCAGTATAGTTGCTCCCTTCCTGAACGAATAACCGCCCAAAATGCATTTATGCATGGTAATAATTAAATTTTCAAAGAATTTTTTTTTTTTTTTTGGGGGGGGGGGGGGGCTAAGCATCTTTCTTGCTAGAGTGCCCTTCCACACATCTTTTTAAGTCTTTTTATCAAGTTAAGGTCTTCCTCATTTGACCCAAATTGTTTTAATTTGGGTTTGAATCAGGACTGTAGACGATTCCAGAGCAACGAAAATGTAGAAACTATATTTATAATCTGAGAAACTGTCTTGTTTTTTTTAATAGTGCCATTCCGCTAAATAGTATACATATTGTTTTTTGGGAAATACTAAACAAGTACACTGTACAAATATGGATAACACTACAGCAGGAATGATTCTCAGTTCCAAAACGCTCTGTAAACAATGCATAGCAAACTTAGTGACATTAATGTTGTAATTCCTTCAAAAGGAGAACTAAATGCCAAACAAGAAAATTTCGATGTTGATTGTATAAACTATTAAAAAAAAATTGCAATGTTCATCATTATCTTTTGTTTGTGCTTTTTATACCCCGTAATCAAAGATTCGGGGGCATATAGTTTTTGCCCTGTCCGTCTGTCTGTCTGTTTGCCCGCAATAACTTTAACCTTGCCCATAACTTTTGATTGGTTGGAGCTATGGCTTTCATATATCACATGTGTATTTCTTGTGACAAGACCTTTCTTTGAATACCATCATATCTGACCTTTTAACCTTGACCTTGGAGTTTGACCCAGTTTTGCAAAATTTTACCCAACGTTAACCTTGGCCCTAACTTTTGAACAGTTGGTGCTAAGGCTTTTATTCTTCACATGTGTAATTTTGGTGACAAGACCTTTCTTTGGATACCAATAACTTTGAACCTTAGGCCTTGACCTAGAAGTTTGACCTACTTTTGAAAAATTTAAATCTTGGCCATAACTTTTGAACAGTTGGTGCTAGGGCTTTCATGTTTCACATGTGTATTCCTTGTGACAAGACCTTCCTTTGGATGAAATATGAAGATAACGCTGACCAGGTATCGACCATAGAACTTTAAACGAGACTTTTGATATTCTTGTTTCATCAACTTGTTTGTCAATAACTTACCTCGTTTTAGAAATTGTTCATACGTAGAGCATGCTCTTGTGTATCGAATCAGCTGAGAGATATAAACCCCGTATGCAGGTGATTAAGGTATATTGCTGCATAAGGGAAGTTGACTATTGAAAAGTTAAAGTCATCACGTCTATAATTTAATTGTTTAATTCCAGTGGTACCCTTTTCCCAACAACAAATAGAAAACGGGGATCTAATAAGAACTAATAAAATATAAAGGACTTGCATCTATAGAAACATGTACCATAATGAGCGCATAATCTTTCATTAAGAAACAATCTGTCAAAGTAAGTTATGGCGTCACTCTAAAAAATATATGATAAATTTTGTTTAAGGAATTGTTTGTGGACATATACCATTTAATTTATAGGAAAAGTACCTTCTCGGGAAATAAATGATAACTTTAAACAAGTAAAAAAATATTATCAGTGTCTTAAACGTGAATAACATATTACATACAACTTATTTCGTACCCCACAAATCAGGCGCGGACCCAGATATTTTAGGGGGGGGGGGGGGGAGAAACCAAAGAAACGAAGAGCACTGGGCTTTGAAATATAACTACCGATTTTTAAACTTCAAAAATCTTTAAAAATTCACAGTCATATTCCCCCTAAAAAAATAAAAACTAAACAATTACATTCTCGTTTGAATACCCAGGCAAAGTGTTATGCATAGCATAGTCAGGATATCTGGGATCTGCGGCCACCTTGAGGTTTCCACTGGGTACAGGGAAAATTTAAAGCCTTGCTGGGGGTCCAGGAAGCTTCTTGATTCTGGTATTTTGGAAGACGGAATTTTTAATACAAACCTATAAATTTTATTGCATTGATGTATTTTAATAAAGAATTTGTATTTACATCATGGTCATGATAAAAATACAATTTGAATTATCTAGGTAATTACATGAACACTATGAATTCCATATAAATGTACGTATACAGGAATTCATATTCAACCAAGAAATGTCGTAATTAATATGCTAAACATCATTCAAAATTTTGCACCTATATGTGTTATCTATAATGGGAATCTTTCATAATTGTTTCCTTTCATTAAATTTTGAGTTCTCTAACCTATTTAATTGTTTTAAATTATTTCGTTTTAATATATGTCAGAGATAATGAGAGAAAATTCTCAGGTAAACGTTAAAACGTATTTCTATGCGGTCCCCTTAAGTTGTCTTTTGTTTGCAGTCCGCTGTCCGTAGTGCGATGTCAGGTGTCTGAGATTCCGAAAATGTTCAATACGTCGTCGATATATCGAAATGTCGAGTTGAAGGCCACAGCAAGTATTTTCTTCTTCTCATGTAAAAGTTTTTTAATAAATTCTGCTTCATATGAATACAAAAGTAGGTCTGCTAATAAGGGGCCGCAATTGGTACCCATGGAAATTCCAACAGATTGTTTGAAGACCTGATCTCCAAAAACTACAAAGATATTGTCAATCAGAAACTCAAGCATCTTTTTAATATCAACTTCAGAGTAGTGTGTACAATCAGAGTGCTTTTTAACAAAATAATTTTGTAAATGACAAGGTAAGCATATTTACGAGTTCCATTTTCATTGAAAAAGCAGCTGTCTATGATGTCAAAAAGCCTGGATTTGATTTGTATTTGAGAAAGTTTCATCATCAGTGTTTCACAAACAAATATTGTGTTTATTTGCAATATACACATGTACAAGTATTTATATTCAAAATATGCATTTAATTACAGCGGTGGATCCAGGAAATTCATAACGGGGGGGGGGGGGGGGAGGGGGTAGACGACAGGGGATCTGGGGGCTGCATTGAAGCCTCCAGCGGGTCCAGAGTAATGCCCTGGTGGGGTCCGGGGGTGCCCCCGGAAATTGACGAATTCTAACAAATAAGAGGGTTTTTCCTTGATTTTAGGATAATACAAGCAAAATTTCAAAATAAAATTCAAACGGGGGGGGGGGGCACGCCTTTGAATTAGTTCACAAAAACAGGTTAAGTAAAAAGGTTTTTTGAGCTGTATAAATCAACAAAGTTGCCAACTTCATCTGTAATCCGTTTTCAGACTTAGGGTGTACATGTAGTTTGCTTTTCAATTGCAAAACAAAATATCCCGCATTTATTTTTTTTAAAAGTCATTTAATGTAAAAAAAAAAAATCAGACTGCATTGTAGACTAAACCCCAGCAACAAGTGAATACTACCGCATTAGTTAAATTAGATACTAGTATCTTTCAATAAATCTTGTAACACCTACATACAAAGGAGGGGGAGGACTTAAAGGTGGAAGAAGAGGAAAGAAATAGAGGAGGGAAAAAGAAAACCAGGTGGAAAAAACGGACAATGCCACTTAGCGTGTCCGAACTCTGCAAAGATTATTGGTCAATGAATGAAAATGATGAAAAGAGTGAAAAGAAAAAAAGGAGGGTGTAAAAAGGACATATTTGAAAAGGGCTGGTATGTTAAGATGGAGAAATTTTTTTTTTAATTTGGATCTCTACTAGTTGTTACAAGACCAAATTGAAGTAAATCTCCTAATATTTTTATCTTTATCTATTACAAATTCTATATCTTTATATATTTTAACTAAAACCTTTTCTTTAATTTGGTGGACAGCTGCAGTATACTATTGTTAAACATTGGTTAAGTAAATTACTGAGTGAAAACTTTTTTTTTTGCATGTAAGTCTATCGAATAATATTCGGTGGTGTTTGTCAAGTAATGCAAGGAATAAATGTCACTTCGAAATAGCATATCACTGGAGGTATGGCAATCGAATTAAGTCATTATTGCTTCAAAAATCGCAAAGCTTAGTTAAAGCCTGTACGAGGAAGCGAAATTAAAAAATGTACAATTAACTTCGATTATAAACAGATTATGCGGGGAAAATATTTTCATTGACATTTGTGTTATCGGAAAAAATACACTAACAGGAAATTAGACTTTACGAAAATCAATTCTTCTGTTTATGAAATATTATTAATCTTTATTGCTCAATCCAAACAAATTAAACGTACGAAGGCATGGATTGAACGTATTTTTTATTCAGAGTATATTTTAATAATATATGCTAAAAAAATTTAAATGCATTCAGTTATGAACATACATGTATATTGTTTAAGTGATTATCAAACGGGCATAAATTATATAATGAAAATGTACATGTATATGTGTTTATACAGGTCAAAACATTTTTGTTGACGAATCATACGGAAATACTGATAATCGCTTTTGTTGTGGAAAAAAATATATTGCCATTTTTACGCGTAACTTTGAAAACTTTTTTTTTTTTAAAATGATAATTAGAAAAAATATGAATGGGATTATGAATACACTTCTATATGTAGAAACGAAAAATTTTATTTTAGATATAATATTCAAAATATTATGGAAAAAAAAGAAGAGTAGGTCGAGGGTCTTAATGACAGATAACTGCATTCAAGTTT